TAAAAATTAAAATTCTTCAAAAAATAATCACTCAAAATGCAATAAGCAAAAAAAAATCAACTCATTAACACAAATGCAATTCTCACCAAAAACTTTAAAAGTGATGATAAATGGATATCAGTAATTGCAAGCAGCACATAAAGTAGGGATGTATCCCAATGTGTGATTAACACGCGTGCCTTTTAACCTTATGTTGCAAACATACAGTTGCAAAAGTGTGAAACAGTAATCCTCAAAATCAATATGTAAAATGCAATACAAAAATTTTGCACAAAACAAAATACTTAACTAAACTAATTAAGGTACTGCGTGAAAATGTTTGTGTTTGGATATACAATAGTTTTCAAAGTCCAAATGTGTATCAGTAGTACATATCTGGTATGCAACCTCAAACAATAAGTATAAAATAAGCACAGTAATACGACCACTGTATAGGCCTGTCACTGTAACCTAACTAACGAGTAGGGTTTCAGTAAAAAGCCTAGACATGTGGAAGAAAAAAACTTTCACATAAATATGCAATAGTACACATGACAATCACCAGTCTCAAGTCAAAATTAAGTTCAATTATAAGCGCAAGCCAAAAGTGGATGCAAAAATAAACAGCACAAAAAAATTGTTAAGTGCTAAAAGTTGGTTCGAAAAGTTCACGGCACCAATAATGTTATAAAATGTCATGGCACCAATATGTTATGGCGAAAAATCACGGTACCAATAACTGTTATGGTTTCCTAAAGATCTGGTACCTAAAAGGTTTCCTACTCTGTTGACATAACACTTAAATTTTTTTAACAACAGTAATAAATACTAATATCAATAAGCCCTGTACATTTGCGTTGTGTTTTCGGATTAACCCTGAAATCAATTTGAGACTATTGAGACGGGTGAAAATCATTGAGCACACACACAAAAAGAAATAAATAAACATTGGACTGATCTAGAAAAGTGAGCCTATTTATTAAAATCTTTAAGAGTTTCTTAATTCCAGTAAATTTGTAAGCAATTCATATTAAATCAGAACTGTTAACATATTGATTATTACAACATGCAGAATTAAGTTTAGTAAGCAAATCATATTCAATTCAAGCTGAACTGTAAAATATTGCTTTCTACAAAAATGCATACCTCTACAGAGTAATATTACTTCTATCTTAGACTCAATAATATCAACTATTATTGGCTAGTTACATTCAGATAAATATGATCAGATATAAACTTTGGATAAATTAACAATACCCTCCCCGGGGAGAAAAAAAAAGAATAATTAACAAGTTATACATTCCAAAAAAAAAAAACATTTCACACAGAGTAATCAATACCAATGTAATTCTGGTTATTGCACATAGTAACTTTCTATTTTCAAAAGAATGATTTAACCGGGTAATATGTTAATTAAAATCAGGCTATTACATCCTACAAGCAATTTAACTCAGAATAATCAATACCAATGTAATTCAGGTTATTGCACATAAGTAACTTTCTATTTTTCAAAAGAATGATTTAACCGGGTAAATATATTAATTAAAATCATGCTGATTACATTCCTACAAGCAAAGTTAATCCCTAAGAGGAGCAAAGAAGCTCAACTAATTGACACCTTTTACAAATCAAATCTTCACCAAGAAAGAAAGAAATTCACAAGTTCAATTAAATAATTTAATGAAGAACTTAATTTTCCTTAACCAATTGACTAATTTACATTCACAGTTTCAATTAACTAATTTAAATAATGTTATATTTCCTTGGCCAATCTAATAATTTACTTTATGGACAAACAAAAATGATTTCAATAGAATTAGGTTAAGTTTACTCAACTACAAAATTTTTAATTCAACTAAGTTAAGTTATTTCAATCACTATTAACTATTTTAGTGTTAGAATTACTTATTAGGAATGTCTAGTAAACTTTACTATAAGAATTGCCTATTATAAATTTTTTCTTTTTTTTTTTTAAATATCCGACCTACAAATAAAAGAAAACAAATAAAAGGAACTTATCTTATGAAATACAAGCTGCAGATGAACAGGAGGAGGAGAAATGCCCTCATTATTAAAAATTATCAAGATGCCAAGGAGGACGGCTGCTGAGCGTAGTATAAAATGAGAAGAGTTCGTGGGTGGATAGTTTTCAAAAAAGTCCGGCCATTTCCATTGATTAAGAAGCACTACGGAGGTTCTTCATTGATGTCCAATCCAATATTGAAGTTAGCATTTTTGTCGTGGGGACACCGGAGCTAGCGATGCAGAAGACTTTGATGGCGGGCAATTAATTCTTAAAGATTTGGAAGGTCGAAGCAGATGGAAACTATTCATGGAGGAGAGACTGAAAAATTTCTTCTTAACGGCACTAGAACTAGGCATCACTAGCGATGCAGAAAGACCCTTGATGGCGGCAATTAATTCTTACAAGATTTGGATTATCGATGTAGTGATACTCTATTCATGGAGGAGGAGACTGAAATTTCTTCTTAACGGCACTAGAACTAGGCATCACTCTTCTTTGCATTTTCCTTTTAATTATCTTTGAGTAACTTACATATTAAGGCACGGCAATGAGGAGCCTATAATTTAGTCGAGGTCATAATTCGTGCAACTAAGTCCCTCGTTCAAAACTCCAGGGCAAGAGGCCCCGTAGATCCAAAGGCGGAAAAATGCATTTTCCGAGATGAAATTCTGCTGCCAACGAGGGACAGCGTCAGATGGTAAGTAGAAAGTGCAAAAAAGTGTAAAAAAGTGAGCTCGTCCCCTAAAACAACCCGTTAAAAGGGAGAGCGCCGGACTGCCAAGTTGGCGCAAACCCATTTTTCGCCGAAAGTTGAAATAGTTGCAACCACCAGCATACCCTCATGTTATCAAACTCGCCAAAACCACTATTTGAACCTCAACGGAAAATCTATGTCGCCAAACCCTCGCCAAATAACCACCACCTGCGACCGGGGGAGATTAGGAATTTCAACAACCCCTGCAAGGGTCCCAACGAAAAGAAAAAAAGAACGCTGAGAACTCGCAAAAAGTGACTTTTCAACCGGGGAAAGAAGGCATTTCATCCCCCTTTAACTAAATCACAAGCGAAAACGAAGAAAAAATCTACTAATTAAAGCTCATAACTGAAATGCAATTGAAGTTAGAAAAATGAAAGTTATGCCAAATTAAAGAGCTAATTTTCTGCAACTAATGATATTAAATACTAAGAAATCAAATTAATTTTTGACATGAAAAACTGAGTTTATTACGTAGAAACAAAAATACTTATCCATTGTTTGCGTGTACAAGATTGAAGACGCAGTTCGCGTAAACTCGGAAAGCCAAAATATATTACACTAGAATTAATAGGCCCAAAAAGAATATAACCAAACTGGTGTAGCTCAAATTTTGAATAATTACAACTTAAAATTTTGATTTTTATGAATCACTTAATTAAATTAAATTCGCTACACAACATTAAATTTTATTCTAACGTTATTATACGGCATTTCCGTACTATTCGCTCAAAACAGTAACAACGTTCCCGCGGATATACGACCACTTCTCAACGGTGAAGGTTATGTCCCGTTTCAGGCTTTCCCAGCTGAAGTTTTTTAAAAATCATGCCAAATCAGCCTTCTTTGATAGGATAGGTAAGAATGTTTCCTATTTCAGCTTTTGCGTTCAGGGTAAGAAAAAAATAAATAAAATGGTCACGTGACTATGAATATATATATATGTATATATGTGTGTGTGTGTGTGTGTGTGTAAGATAAAAATATGCGAATCAAAATTGTAATTTAAACTAATGGTAACTCCTTTAATTCTCTCTCTGTTTTAAAAATCGTAATAACTTCACTGCACTGCGTCATTTCTAGATCATTTCATTTTGCATGGCCTGCGCAATGCACGCTGATGACGTAATAATTGGAAACTGAAACTCTTTAACTCAAACCAAAATCTTTCTCTTCGTGTGCTTCCATCTTTCATAAGTACGCACTTCACCTCTTCTCTTTGCTGTGCTTGGACGTGATTTTACTATGCTGGTTCCTATTGCAATAATATCAAAAATGTAAAAGTTCTTGAATAGACACGGTTAGAGTGCCAAGCAAACTGTGACCACAAATATCAATTGAAAATAAAAATGGAATTAAAACTGCCTCGACTGGCATGTTTCTTAGATATTACCAAGTCAACATATTAGCATACTACGCATCTGAAGGCTTACTCTTCAGTATGGATCTACGATATATAGCTATTACGCATCAGCAGTGTTCTGTCTTTTCCTTGCTATTATATATATATATATATATATATATATATAAAGTGATGTCACAATGACTGATTACATCTAATACATAAAACAAGACTTTTTTAAATTTGATTATAGTTGATTTCTAAACAATAATCGTGGATAAAGGTTTGTAGAGACATTAGGTATTTTTGGAAGCAGGAAAGATGAAAAATGAACAATCGCCTTCGCCGCGAATCGAAACACGGACCTCTGGAATACCGGCCCAGCGTGCAGAAAGACTACACCACGAAGGCACGCTAGGAAGGCGGGAGAAGTACCTTATATACTCCCCCTTCTAAAGGGCGACTGGGGTTTTTAGGGGACGCAATCGCCAAATCCCGGATGAGGAGAATCATCATCCATCACCCTTTCAGTTCGGGCGCCACTGTACAGACATTATTTTTGGGAAGCAGGCAAGATGAAAAAGAAACGCCTTCGCCGGGAATCGAACCACGGACCTCTGGAATGCCGGCCCAACGTGCAGAACCACTACACCACGAAGGCACGCTAGGAAGGCGGGAGAAATACGTTATAGGTTTCTGAGAATTTTACATTTTGAAAATTGTAACATTGAAAATGATAATTGAAAGTTCAGAGTTTTTAATAAAATAGATTCATTATTTTACAGTTTTTAAAATGTATTGTAGATGGAATTTTATGCCATGTATAAGGAAATGGATATTTTACAGCCATTCGCCGTATGGAATTACAATGTTTTAAAAACAATTGATATGTCTTCTTTACAGGCTGAAATAAGTTTTCCTTGTGCAACTAAGAAGCCACTTTTTTCGGTTTTCTTTCTTTTCTTCTTATTCCGGAGTAACTTAAAAAAATAGACGAATTTTACCTCCGATGTCTTCCCTCTAACTATAATGAAAGGTTAAAAATAGAAAGCCTCAAATGATACGATGTTTGATGTTTTCGCCCAGAACACCTGCAGAAGGGTGGGAAAAAGTCCGAATTTTGTTGTCACCTCCAGAAAGCCTAAAACGAAAAAGAAAGCCCGAAACAGGAAATTAACAAAAGGTGAACATAGTATTAACAAACAGAAAAGAGCATTTAACAAAAAAGAAAAAAGGGGGAAATAAAGCTGGAGCGTAGAGACAGATGTCATACAGCTGGAGCGATTAGTTTAATAGATGGTCAGTCGAAGTGAAGACGGTTGAGAATGCGTTTATTGCAGTCCTCTGGCATTTAAGGGAAAATATCCAACGGCAGATGACGAATTATATTTATTTTCTTCTGTTAGAAATTTTGTTCATTTTTGACATGTTTCTAATTTTTATTTATTCTTAAACATTTTTTCTTTTCTTCTAGTTTCTCATGTTGATAGTAAAACCTTTGTTTATAGAGAAGAAAAAATCATAGCCTGAAATATTTGTAATGGTAGCAGTAACGAAAAGATACTAAAATAATTGCATTCTTCGGGATATAAAAGAAAATACAATAAAATTGATTTACACACGGTGATTAAAAACTGTTAAAACTGATTGTGTACCTTTTTCTGCCATTAAACGTGCGACATTTTTATTTGTTTTATGAAGATCGATTATGCATCGGTTTGTCTGAAATGGTAGTGAAACATTTCTCTGTATTTCATGATTTCAGTGATTAATGAATTTCAAAGATTTAACATGCGTCTCAATAAACTCAGCCTTTCTCCTGAAATAATCAGTGTTTCTACACTACAATTTCTGTCTTCTCTCCTCTTGCTTTTCCAACTGAAATATTGTCAATGAAGCACTCTGTTCCACTGCCATCTAGCATATTGTTCTCCTATGAAAAATGCATTAAAGATGCACCATGGATGACAATGTTTCACTGATTTCCAGTTCACTTTTCGCTGTTTCACCTCATTTATTTTCTTCGGCTATAGGGGGAAAATTGCGACAATTATAAGCTTTTATACAGCAAAGAAGATAAAAAAAATTATCCTAAATTAATTTAACTTAATCTCATCAATCACTGTTATCATGCAGGTTTCGGCACCATGATGTGTGTTGTCATTGTCGGCTGTAATTTGGCAGTGGTAGGCGCCCTTTGCCGGCTAAGCCCTGAAAGCAACAAGGCACGGCGAACGACAGTAACTCGAGACCACAAGGAGCTTGCATTCAACCACACAACACAAGAAGAGCTGTCCTTCGCCAAACTTATGGTGGTACTTTGCGTCTTCTTCGTCGCCTGCTGGTTGCCACAAATGGTGAGTTGCGTAACTTTCATCTTAAAAAAAAACATATAGTCTTTAAAAATGCATTCATCTTAAAAAAAACATATAGTCTTTAAAAATGCAATCATAAAGATTATTACAAAAAACTACGCACAATTTATGTGCGTAAGTTATCCATGAGCTTATAAAAACTTGCTGGTGACGTTAATCGTATTTCATATTTAATGCCAGAAAAGTATACTAATGAATTGTGCTTGGAGAAATTAAGATTTTTTTGCTAGATGAAAATATATTGTTTAATATTATAATTTATACCTAATCATAATATTATAAAGTCATTTCCAAACTGGGATTAATGCTGACGACACGTATGAAGATCTGTGCTTCAACAGGAATTCAAACCCAGGACCTGATTATGTGCAGACGTTCATGCTACCATTGCAATAGAAAAGGCTGTTGCCAGATTCTTGTCATTTATGTTTGAAACTTTAAGCTTCGGCATATTCTGCTTTACCTTAGATCTGACCATGCTATAAATAGATGAGGCATTTCACAAAGAAAACGAGAAACTCATATTTCTCTCCGGTTCTGAGTAATAATTTATTAAAAGAATTATTTTAAAAAGAAAAGAAATAAAATATTTTGCCTAGAATTTTAACATACATTGTTTTACAAAAAAAGAATAAAATCTTTCTGAAACATGAACTGCATTACCACACAACACAAGAAGAAGCTGTCTCGCCCAAATTATGGTGGTATTGCGTCTCTTCGTCGCCTGTTGCCAAATGGTGAGGCATATAGTCTTTTAAAAATGCAATCATAAAGATATTACAAAAAAACTACGCACAATTTATGTGCGTAAGTTATCCATGAGCTTATAAAAACTGGGGGACGTTAATCGTATTTCATATTTAATGCCAGAAAAGATACTAATGATTGTGCTTGGAGAAATTAAGATTTTTTGCTAGATGAAAATATATTGTTTAATTATAATTTTATACCTAATCAAATATTATAAAGTCATTTCCAAACTGGGATTAATGCTGACGACACGTATGAAGAATCTGTGCTTCAACAGGAATTCAAACCCAGGACCTGATTAGTGCAGACGTTCATGCTACCATTGCAATAGAAAAGGCGTTGCCAGATTCTTGTCATTATGTTTGAAACTTTAAGCTCGGCATATTTGCTTACCTAGATATGCTATAAATAGATGAGGCATTTCACAAAGAAAACGAGAACTCATATTTCTCCGGTTCTGAGTAATAATTATAAAAGAAATTTTAAAAGAAAAGAAATAAAATATTTTGCCTAGAATTTTAACATACATTGTTTTACAAAAAAAGAATAAAATTCAATATTTTACTGAAAAGATCCACACTTTAATGATTCTATTTTTTGTAGCTAACTATTAAGTAGTAACAATTTAATAAAATTTATTAAATTAATAATGATATTATTATTATTTATTGGTTGATAAGAAATTAATTCAATTTTAGATTTTTTTTTTATTTACTCTTTGTGAAAAATTTCTCTTTCATATTGTTATAAAATTTAAGAAGAGTTATAAATATACCGATATTTATACGTCAAAATGCTGGGAAAAATCTAACGGGTAAATATTTTGCTGCTATTACAATTTATATTAGAATTTAAAAAGGAGTTTCTTAAATACTCAATTTCGTTTCTTCATTTTGTTTTTCAGATAACTTTATGTTTAATTAAAAAACTGTCTACCCAAAATCATGAATTCTGTTTAATGCGAATATGTCGTTTCAAGCTTCAGATGTGAAAAATTGTGTAAACACTAAACTTAAGAAGAAGTACGTGTATAATAATATTTGCGTTAGTGAAAATACTATTAACATTTTTAAATCTCTTTCTTTTAAAACGGTGCAATCTTCTTCAAGATATTTAGACTGCTATCTGATTTTCAGATTACAAGGTGTTTGTCTTTTTTAATTAATTTTTCTGCTTTGTTATTAATCATATATCTTTTGACAGTATGGATTTTTACCAATTCATAGGATATAATATTATTAATACAAGAGATTTTTAAATCTACAGCCAAATCAGTATATTTTATTCATCAGAAAATCAGAAGCATTTATTAAAAAGGAACAATTTCTTTCTCATTTCTTCCAGATTTTATGTCTGCTGCAAATCTTCTGAAAAGAATGATCCTTCGCAAATTGTCTAAAAAGAGGCAAGAATTTCTAAAGATAAGAATAAACTTCTATTTTTCAGTCTCCAGAAAACTGAAAGGATTTATTTACAGCATAAGGATTTTCTTAAGCTCCTTCTACTTTTCACTTACCTCTGCATAGCATCTGAACAAGAGGTCTCCTATAAATTCATATCACAAAATATCATTACGAAAACATTCTAACGATTCAGGAACAATTTTTATGAAAATATGCTAAAACTTATTATGTATCTTCAAGTCTTAAATTAATTGCATATAAAGTTATCGTCAAAATCCGGAAAATAAGCACTTTTCTTTGTATGTAGCAACCGTTTCCAATCTGTTCCTGTGCAGGAATCTTTGAAATAATTTTGTTATTTCATGTTACCTTTACAAAAAATGTTTTTAAAATGCTATATGTAAAAGAAAATATTATCTTGTAAAACTGTCCTATAATTACAACTAACAGGAAAGAAAATTAATAAATTATATACACCGTGTCCACAAAATTCCTTCCTCGAGCTTTATTGTAGTTACTACTGGTTATGGACATATACTTCCAAATACAAAAATGTTTTAAATGATGCAAAGATTCGTGTTTTCATATTCTTAAATTCAAAAGAATTATTTTGGTATAAAATTCGAAGCCTAACATTTTATACGTTTCCTGGCCCCCTATACTTATATTCAGGAAAATGTTATGCTCATTATTAAATATAAAATACAAAAATTTTGACACCCGTGTGATAAAAACTTGTAGAGACATTAGGTATTTTTTGGAAGCAGGAAAGATGAAAAATTAGCAAAGCCTTCGCCGGGAATCGAACCGCGGACCTCTCAATTACGCGCTGAGCGTGCAGACCACCACACCACGAAGGCCCGCTAAGAAAGCGGGAGAAATACCTTATGAACTGAACGAAAAGTTTCAAAATTTGCAAACTTTGACATAATTTTCAACTCACCTTGAGGTATGGTTAATGAATGAATTCGAATAATTTGAAATTTATTTTCTCCTTAAATATTTGATGCTCTTTTGTGATTTACTAGTATGCAATGTTCTTTGCTTTATAATTTTGTTATAACAGTTATGCCAGAAGAATTTTCAGAAATAATTTTTTAAGTTTTGAAACCTCGGAATTATGATGTTAGTATTCTCAAGCAGTTTTGTTACTTTAAAATCCTAATCTAAAAAGTATACAAAATTTCATTAAACTAGCATTTTTTTAAATTTCTAATTTATGTAAATAAGGTTACGATTTCGCGATATAACAATGCTGAAAATTGCCACTGTTTTCTAGATTAAGAATCCTTTCAGACATTGTGTTTAAGATTTTTTGTTCTTTTAAAACAAATTATATTGATCCATACTTTTCACGATATAGAAAGCTCGTCGCTAATCTGTTAACTTAGAAAATTGTTTTCGAAACTAATATTTTATTTTTAATTCAGTATGAATGCAAACATGTCTCTCTTCACCTTGTACAAGGCCCCTGAATATCATATTCATCTTTAAAACTAAATATCCGGGTCAATTTTTATCCTACGGGAATAATATTTTGTTTTTATAATAACATTTTCATCAGTATGAGCATACGAACCTGGGAAGAGTATAAAAAGTCAGTCAGATTTCCTAATTTTTGCAAAATTCATTAATTAATTATTATTATTATTTTTAAATGCCAAAACATGAATCTTTGCGTCGTTTAAATCGCTTTTGTAGCTGGAAGTATATGTCTACGATCAACCACTTCGAAGTCAAAGGTCGGATAAATACTTTTAGGGGCATGATGTACATATCTATTAATAATTACTATTTTTAACTATATATAGCAAAATAATGCATTTCTACTAATTAGCTCTAAATTTATATGGAAATTTATTTTTACTATTTACAATTCCACGGAATTCTTTTAATTATTGATTTGTACAGTCATGTTAAAAACTTGCTTTGCAGCATTTGGGCAAAAAGAAAAGAAAAATAAAGTGCCAAATAATGTAATTTATAAGGAAAATCAATGATGCGCTTTAAAATAAAACAAAACTTAAACGACAAGTGTTATTGAATAAAATAAAACATAAAAAAACTAAGCTTTCCGGCCTTCGGGTTTAAAATAAACATGGAAGCTAGTTAGGCGTTGTCTGTGTGCATCTTCGTTGCAATGGCATATATTAAAACAAAAGTGAATTTTGTACCACACGCGCTATAGATATTTAGCTGTGGAGTTCATTGTTGTAATAATTCTGCTCTGAAGCTCCTATAATAGAGTAAAAGTGGATATACATACTTTTTGGATGAATCTCAGAGGGAAATATATTACAAGACGTCTCTTCTGAAGCCTGAGTATCCAGGAATGCTACGTGTGGTTTTATTTTTATCTGTATCGATTCTGCAACGATATACTATTGTATTCAATTCATATGTTAAATACAAATGAGCACGAGAAAGTAACTTTTCTTCTCTTTCCTGTCAGATTATATACGACATAATTTAGTGTCGAAAAACTAATAATTTTTTAAAGGCGTAAAATTTACTTTACGGCTTTAAAAAGTTTTTAAATCACTCAGTACTTCATTTCCCAATGAACATATGATGATTTTCAGACTCTGTTTTAAAAATGTTTACATATCACAAGAAATCCAGTTCTTTAAGATGAATTATATCCAGTTCCTTAAAAGATGAATTTCTGTGGCTTGAATGAAAAAAAGGATTACAAAGTTTCAACAGTCGCATCGTATCCAGTTTTACAGTGTATATGGATTTCTCCACTCTGTCTTAACTTCGTCAGATTCAGATGTACAAACTGTATGCTTTATCATATTTTTCTCTTAGATGACCATCATCATCGCCCAGGCAAAGCCGAATCTGAAAGACCATCCTTTCTTTAGGATAGCAGACGTCTGCACAGCGCTGAACTTCATTCTGGATCCCATTGTGTACGTCCTGTCCCGTCGTCCTCACAGAAGAGGTCTCAGACGACTCTTGAAACCCATCTGCCACCATTGTTGGTCCCAGCCGGATATATCCAGTATCACAGGATCCAATAGCCAAGGTACGAAAGCCAGGGATCTGTATTTACTGTCCAAGTTTCCGGATATCCAGAGAAACAGAGTGTGGTCACCCAGCAGTTTGAAACGAAGTTTGGGTGAAGTTAAGTATTCACAAAAGTGTTGTGTTATAGATAATGACAAATTATATCATCATGGTATTTTAATTAGAATCAAATCAAACATTTTTTCACATATAGGTGAGTCAGAAAAATTTATACATACTTTGAACTCTCATAAAAAAATTCTTTTCCAACCTACAAGGTTAACTTTCTGGTAAAAATAAGGCTATACTCCAATTTGAAAAATAAATATATTTTCTAGTCAGACTGAATGTTATAAATGGTGTTTAAAGTAAACATTCAAAAAGGTGGCCTACTGCATCGATACATTTTTGAGAACGGGTCACGTCTGATTCTGTACTTCTCACCAAAGCGTCCAAAGAGATTTCTGCGCACACCGCTTTAATCTCATCCCAAAGTGTGTCAAGGTCACGTGGTTTACGATACTACAATTCATCTTTTACTATGCCCCATAAAAAAATCGAATGGCGTAAGGTCTTGAGCGGCGGTCGAGTACAATTTTATAAATAAGTTCAGAAGATAGTTACAAGTGAACAGAGATTTATGGGTAACATTGTTTAGCCGGATGAAGCAGAATTTAAACTTAATGGCATAATTGTGTGTATCGGGTTGAAGATAAACACCACATTACTGTTGAAAAGTCTGCGAATTTGTCCGGTTTAAATGTGTGGTAATCTTAATTGGAGAAGTATCTAATAGTGCTTGCTGATTCCATTCTCCCTGACATTCTGCAATATACTGTAATGCCAAGTTTTATTACGAACAAGATAACTCCCTTTCGCACTATCATAGGGATGTGTGAGAATACCTGGATCAAAATGTACCAGGCCAGAGAATAGGACACAAGGAACCAATCGAGTTTCCTTCAAGCTCTCCAGACCTTCATTCTTCAGATCAATTTTTTATGCGACACAGTAAAACATGAAATGTACTGTCGTAGATCACGTAACCATGACAAACTTTGGGATGAGATTCAAGCGGTGTGCTCAGAAATTCCATTGGACACTTTGGTGCGAAGTACATCATCGTTCGTGACTCGTACTCAGAAATGTATCGAGGCTGCAGACCACCATTTTGAATATTTAGTTAAACACTATTTGCAACATTCAATTTGACCAGAAAGTATACTTATTTTTTAATTTGGACTATAACCCAACTTTTCTCAGATATTTAAAATTGTAAACATAACCGAAAAATAGTAGCTCTTGTCCGACCAGATGTCTTGTCTATATGGCAATTTTTATTAATATATATAAATTTAAAGTAATTACGAACCAATTTCATAAAGAAAGTTCACAAAGAAAATTTATAAATGTATGAATGTTTATAAATGTTTATGAAGTTCCTTTCAATGAAACAAATATGTTGTTTTAACTGAATTCAATTTTTTTTAATTTCAAGCTTCGCACTTTTAATTATATGTAAAATATAGCTCTAAATCTTTAAAAAAAAAAACATAGAGTTGGTAGCTTTCATAGGGTACTTTGATTCGCAAAGTTTGGCTTCGTTGGGTTCATATCTTGGCAAACGGGCTGGCTGCATGGAATTTTTTGTGGTTTTCCCAGTGTGAAAGAGGTAGTTTTTTTAAAAGGGCCTCCACGAGAATATTCTTAACTTTAGATGGATGGTCCTAGAGGGCTTTGCATAATTTAATTAACAATTGACTAGCGTAAAGCAACATACGACATGCATCAATATATCCATATTTTTTTGGTAATGAACAGCTATTTTATTTATTTTGTTCAATAAAGTCGCGGCTGCTGACCATCGTTTTGTCTTTTTTTTTTTTTGTGTGTGTGTGTGTGTTGTGTGTGTGTGTGTGTCTGTGTGTGTGTGTGTGTTTATTGTTGTTGTTGTTGTTGTTGAAAATTATTTCAGTTATAAAGATTCTATTGTTTCAAGAATAATGATTCTATACTTTCTTACAGAGTAACTTCAAACAAGAAGTTTCCCAAATACATTATGCTACCATATTAAAACTGAAAGGTCATTTCTTATATTTCATTATCATGAGGTTGAGGCCTCGTTTTTAACACCGCCCTCTTCTTTAGCATCGTCTTTCTCGCCCTCGAGCGTATCTGAGTCATTTTCCTCTGTATTCGTGACAATGCATTACGATTAGTAATAGGTGGCCTCTTACATCTGACGCACTAATGCACTGCACGAAGGCACCCCCATTTCACAATGGTCATATTCAAACACTGATTCATAAGTTCTCTTAATAAAAAGGAACTTCTGATAATTACAATTTGACATAGAGGATAATAAATAAAAGCCCATTGCTCGTTTACGGTAGGATCTTCTTTATATGATGTCAATGCAATCGCCTTCTGTAAAATATTATTTGAAATTCTGTTTAGTTTTACGTATCGTAAGGTGTTTGTTTCATTTGCGATAAGCATTGCATGCTGTAATCTTAATTTCACGATATAATTTATTTATTGCATAACTAAGAAAGATACTAGTTACCCAAGTGAAAAATCTAAATCTAATTTTAATTTTCTCAGATGCAAATATATTTACCTGATGTATTCTGATTCAAAATTTTCAGATTGCTATTTAAACGGATTTGTCGTTTCCATTTCCTTATTTTGAGGGGAAAGAGGGAACGCAAGGCAGCAAGAGATATGAACTGCACAAATGTTTAGTGCAAATGGTGTTTTGAGTTTAGATATAAATGTTATATATTTACGCAAAGCTGGACACTTGTTGCATTTATTACTGATATAAAATTATTTCACAAACGTTAGTAATGTAAATTTCAGTCTTAGTTATTTCTTTGACAAATACGAAAAAGTTAGTTAATCAGTTCGAATAAAGTATTTTAATATTTAGAATATACCAATTTTTTTAAAGGATATAGAGAGAATAGGATTTTTTGGGAGGCCAGAGAGATGAAAAATTAGCAATCGCCTTCGCCGAGAATCGAACCACGGACCTCTGAAATACCGGCTCAGCGTCCTGACCACTACATCACGAAGGTACGCTAGGAACTATGATACTTTTGATATGCCTGTTTCGGCAGGAATTATATCCCGCTATTACAGGCACCTCAAATAACCCTGGTTAGGGAAGACATTATATACTACTTCGCAGGAATAGGAAGGCGGGAGAAATAACTTATATACTCCTCCTTTTAAAGGGCGACTGGGGTTTTTAGGGGACCCAGTCTCCAAATTCTGAGTGAGGAGAATCATCATGCAACACCTTCTAGTTCGGGCGCCACTGTAGAGACAGGTATTTTTTGGAAGCAGGTAATATGAAAAATTAGCAACCGCCTTCGCCACGAATCGAACCACGGACCTCTGGAATACCGGCCCAGCCTGCAAAACGACTACACCACGAAGGCACGCTAGGAAGGCGGGAGAATACCTTATAAGGAATTTCAACAAAAATTGCAGGAAAGATTTCTTAATGACGAGAAAAACTATGGCAGTGACAATTAGGCAAAAGATTAATTTCAGATTAGCCTAGATTTTGAACATAAATAATTTGTTCAACATCTACGGCAATGTAAAGTCGCACTTTTGCCCAGCTTTCCAGTTCCAGTTAAAAATAATTGTCAGAACATAACATGTATACTTATTCTCTACACGTTGCTGTTCTCTGATCGTTCAGGGTTTCGTTATGAATTACGAGCAATGTTTAATTCTGCAGAATTCCTCTGTTTCTCATTTCAACTAAATCATCCGAATTTCGTTTATACGATGCTCTTAATACGAAATAGTGATCAATATTGTAGCTGTACTTCGTAATCACTCATAAATGCTGCAATGACTTTAAATTCGACTATAAAATATTTGATAACTATAAACTTTATTATAAAACTAATTTGAGCTTAAATTACAACTTTATAATTATAGCTTAAATTATACATTATTTTGCTATTCTCATAAGTTTTTAGAATTTTTTATAATTACTTCATATAAAATTTTAATGCGCGGTCTTGGTTGCTTTATTTACTTGAGATTTTACAGATTGTTTTAAGAACAAATGTAACAAAATTTAAGACTTTACTATTTAGGATATTGGACATTTTTAACTTTAAGAAATCCAAAAAAATCCTTTAATAATGATAAAATTGATATGCACAAGACATAAACTGATATGCGCACACTAAATAGTGCAAATCTTTGAGCTGACAGAGCAAAAGAGCCATTCATTATTATTATTATTATTATAACGCACATTGGTGTTTGTCATATGGTCAAAAGTTTGTCACTGATTTTTAAACTGCTTCCTGATACGCTATGGAGTTCAATTATGTACTCACACTGTTTGCTGATGAAAATACAATGTAGTGAAGCGGATTTTCAAATTTCGATTTAAGTTTTTTTAATTTGAAATTCAAACGATTTTTGATACATGCTTTCGTTTAAGAGCACACTAAAACTATCAGAATTTTACTGTTTGCACCATCGGATAGAGCCAAAAAAAAAAATTTATTTTAGAAAATGTTAACATAATTTCAATATTTTTGGCGAATTTTCAAAAATAGCTCGATTTTTTTCACTGCATGATGTCTATTATTTTAAAATTCCAAAGTCTAAAAATCTAAGACATCTCTAAAGTCTTCAAATTTTAACAGATTACATATTTGGGCTTTTACTTTAATTTAAAAAATGTATATGCTACAGACTTTTACACAGACGGGAAAATTTCCTTACGGTTTTTATTTTGGTTTGACGTGACGCGCTGAGTTCCAAAGAATTCCTTAGAAAGAACTTAGATATCTCTATCATTTTATAGACGTTATTTCTTTCTACACCCTCTTTCTTTATAGCCAGATTCTTTACGAATAGGTAAAAACAAATATTACTTTAGTTATATTTCTAGATTTTTTTCGATGACAATACAATGTAATGAAGCGAATTTTCCAAAATTCAATTTAAATGTTTTTAAGTTTAATTTTGAAACGATTTTTTCGTGCATATCTTTATTTAACTGTAAAAATACCAGTATTTTGCTATTTCCTCTTATCTATGTTGAGTACTATGTAAATATGACAGATGGCAGCATTA